AAAAGCAGGTTTTTTCTTGTGTTATACTTGTAAATACTTTTGGGAAAGGATTAATGTAATAATTATTTACTGGTGTATTCATGCAGAAATCAACAAATCTTTCCCCATTGCATATCAGCAAAATACATTTTTAATACAGCTCTAAAATGTAGCATCTCTTGATGCCATCTCAGGCTCGCAGACCTGTTGGCATCTCTCACTTCTGGCTTCTGCTGCCTGAACTCCCTCAGTGCGTGGCTTTGCTGAGCTGTGTTCAGGCATCGCTCTTGCCTCTTGTCTCCCCTACCTGTTTCCTTCAGGTAACAATGTCTTAACATGCTCAGGTGGTTTTCCCTGCCTTCCTGGGCTGATGACGTTTCTTCCTGAGTTTCAGATGGGATCTTTGCTCAGTGGTAACTCTTCGGTATTAAGTAAAATATTGATTGCATAACATAAAGAAGGAGCTCTTCAAGAATCCATTCCTTAAGAATGTGGCTGGAACTTAAGATAAACTATTTTCTTTTTTAAAAAGTAATAAAGAAAATAGATGGTAACCATTTTTGGGGAGATCCAAAGCCAACATAGTAAGCTATCTGTAGCATTCACTTTTTCTGCTCAGGGGAGTTTTTAAGGCTGCAAAGCTATGTTATTTTTTTGTTTTTATACCTCTCTGGAGCTTTACTTCATCATCCATTCCCTACATATAATGCTAGCTGGCAAGTCTGCCTCATTGACTACTGTAGCGCTGACTACCGTGCTGTTCTGAGACAAGTGGACCAAGATCAGCTCTGCTGGAAAGCACTAAATGAAATACCTTTCTTTGAATGTAATCTTCTGTAACGCCTTCTTGATTCGGAGAAGGTCTGAGTGATTTACTTTACCAGCATTTTAGGAAGCTACTCCATGGAAGCAACAGGGAAAACAGCAAAAGAGAACTTCTGATTCACAAAATGTTACTGAAGTCCTTTTCCAAGGCACTTGCATGGAAACTGAGCCCCAAAACACTGCATTCAGAGATTCACAAACAAGTCAGTTGTGAATAGGAGGCAGAACCTGAACTTTATTGCAAATTCTGTCTTGTTCTGTTATCATACATATTCCAGTGTTCATCTCTCTAATGGGTACTTCCAGTCAGAAAGTCAGTGGCCCTTCCCTTGGTGGTATTTTTGTTCTTTGAACAGTGAGCAGTAAGGGGTTTTTGGATGTCCCAACTCCAAGCACTTAAACAGACTTACTCTGCTTTTGTGCCAAGTGGCATTTTGGAAAGCGTTAAGGAGTCTGCCACAATAATTTTTGTTCCCTCTTTGAGTGTTCTATAGGATACATTACTTTGGATGTATTACTGTACTGATTTTGGTATTCTGCCATTCTCAGTGCTTTCTTCTGGGTTTTTCTGATGAAGCCATTGCTCATTTGGACGTGTGCATTCAGAGGGGAATCAGTTGCAAGATCTGCACACTCAGAGACCACTTTCCTATTGCCCACCCTCCAGTGCCAGATGGAAATGGTTCCCAGACACGCATATAGAGAAAATCAGGGAGTGGAAGTCCCCCAGTTGCTGAATCTTTTTGCTGGAGTCTCCCCACTCCAAGAAAAAGGGAGCTCCAGAAACTTCTACTGCTGCATTAGGAAGAAACATTGCAAGTTTTATCTTCAAAGACAATTGTTCAAAGCTGATCCTTGTATATTAAATTAAAGAAGAGCTGAAAAAAGTCCCAATACAGTGATTATCGCAATTAACCACCTGTGTCTGAGGATTAATGTGGCCATGGTTACTAGTCCTGCATGAACTAATATGAACAGAAGAGAAGCAAAGTGGTTGTGACGAAACCAAGCCATTTTTCACTGCCTGTTTTTGTGCATGGCCTTCCCAGGTCACTGAGCACATTGGTCACAGGTTACACAGCCTTCAGCCGTGCCTGGAGATGGGGGCAGGCAGTGGGCTCTCGCTCTGTGCTCAGGCCCCAGGCTGAGATCCCGCAGCAGCTCTCACCTTTCTGACTCACTGCCTGCCCAACCAAAACCGTTCTCTGGTTGCAGGCATTCAATTTGAGCTGTCTTGGCCTGATTTTTGAGGAACTTGGAGTTCCCATAACTCATGTCAGAGCCACGGGAATTCCTGACCTGCATCATGAGACCCAGTGTGCACAGCAAAAGGTAACATTGATGGCCAACCATGCTGCAGGTGTGCTCTCCCTTCAGCAAAGCATCTAAACAGAAAATAGCCTGCTAAGCACGAAGAAAAATACTTCTTTTGGCTTCATCTGCTTTCTGCATCTTGGCATCTGCTGTTACTTGCAGTTTGATGTGGCATGACATGCCAAATATTTCCGGAGTTATTTTCTAAAATATGTGAGGATGCATTCTTCACCCGCTTGATATCTTCAGGGGAATACAGACAGGTGAATATATTTATTTTCACAGGTTGCAGGCTGTAGCTAAACGTGGGAGCTTCCAGACACTGCTGAATGTTTCACATAGGCTTTGAATTTGCAATTTAGAGCCAGTGCAGCATCTGACTGGGACAACTGCAGAGCTGAGAACACAGTGTATAGGAAGCCCTGTGCTGTTTTTATTTCTCATTTATCAAACATCTCATTTATCAAACACACCTTGTTCAGCTAATTCAGTCTTGCCTTTTTCACTTCTATCTCCACACCAACATAACAGGAAATGAAATTGGAGGAAGTAGCTGTGGATCAGTGGAGGGCTAGGGTCAGTGTGCTGGACTCCTGATGCATGCCCAGTGCCTGCAGGGTGCTTGAGCAGCCTTGCTCCTGCTGTGTCCCCTCCGTGTGTGGGAAGAGGCCCACCTCTGAGCAGATCTCATGCTTCTAATGAGAAGAAAGGAAAAGAAGACACTATTGTGTGGAACACAATTTGACAGTTATTTTTAGCCAAGTCATCCACAGCTCCTTTCTGGAATTAAAACCATCAGATATTCAGTAAGAAAAACTGTGGGTGTATTGAGCTGCCTTTACTCCTGGGATTTCATCAAAGGCTAAATCAAGTCACATCTTTATTGTTCATGCTAATGACATAATCTAAGCACTGTTTTATTTGTCTCTCAGAAAATGAAGCAAGCTTTAAAACCATGGCCAAACCAGTTCTGTCTGATGTCCCAGACCTCTGGAGGAAGCAGCATTTGAGAAAGACTTGCTGTCTGCAGGGACAGAGGATCTCCTGGCCACCAGCTGATAGTGTTTTAAAGGTCTAACTTAGCACTCTGCTTCCCTGCAGCCCATGTGAGCCCTCACCATCCATTTCACGTGGTTTTGTTTGGAAGTTGTTTCTCTGGAGCTCATTCTATCGAAAATTTTTATTATACAAAATTCACCACCAAAGTTGGTCTCCGCATCACCTGGGACCTGAATGCAGATTTCAGTTTTATCTACAGAGTTGCCAGAGCCTTTTATATTTTAATAGACAATGGAAATCATACTGCACTTGTCAAACTTGGTGCTGTGCTTTTTGTGAAAATCCCCAAAAGTGAGGCAAAGAGCTCCAAATTGTCTACTGAACTTGTCTTCTCTTCCCTTTGGTATGAGTATTATGTGAGTCACTCAGCTTGAAGAGTGCTATGGAAGAGAAAATTGATTATTAGATACAGAACCATAATGAATCACACTTGCTTGAAAATTTTCTTTTTGTGCTACACTACCCATGCCATCAGTTATTGGAAACAAATCCCTGCTGCATGTGGAAATTTAAAATAGCTATGTTAGAGACAAATGGCACGAATGCCCTATTGATCAGTTTTCAGTGACAAAATATTAGCTGTTGTGGATCTCTGGGGAATTTTCATGAGGTTACTGCCTCTAATTACAACATTGTTTTCCAGTTACCTCTGTTCCAAGAAGCACCTTGCTACCTCTTGTGTGCAAAGAGATCGGAATCTTAGAGACTCTTAAAATAGATGTGCTATATATGGAAGCTGTCAAGGTTAGGATAGAGATGTCAGGAACAGAACATTTCTCCAGAATTTAAAACAAACAAACAATGAAAAAACGTGTCTGAAAGATTCATTACATGTACATTACAACCATGCTTTCTGATTTTTTTTTTCTTTTCCTAGACAGTGTTTTAATGCATAAAAGATGATGATCCTCATCTTTGTGTGCGTATGGATGCAACACACAAGTCAGGGTGGAAGATGCACACTGCTGTGTCTGTAGGGTTAGTGCTCATATAGAATTCTGCCCGGCACAAAAGGAGGCTGCAGGGCAGCAGGTGTTCTGTTCATGTGCCTCTCCTTTTAGCATGGGAACACCTACTCTGAGAGTCCCTGAATAATAGGAAGCCAGGGGTTATTTTGGCTTTTGTGGAAGGCCAGTAGCTGGATGTGAAAACTCTTGGCACGATTTGTCTCTCCAGAGTGGATTAGCCTTTGTTATCTACAGCATTTAAATTAGTCACTGTGGCAAACTTTTAGTTAAGGGTGTTCTTAGGCAGCTAATGAACCAAAAGCAAAGAGCCAATGCAGCTGGTTCTTCCCTGGGCGTTGCTACAGGAGAGGACAAAACTTAGGCTGTGAGAGAACTGTGCTAATCCATTAATTGTCTTAAATGACTCCAGTTAATGAGGTTTAGTTAATTGGCTTTTGTTTTAATACAGCTTTGAGAGGCTAAAGAACATAGATCTGTGTAACGCCTCAGAAGGAGGGACAGTTAAGGTAAACAGGTAAGTCTGACTTCACAAACAAAAACTGGGTATAACCGTATCATTTCTGTTATACCAGTGGTAGTTGATGTCTAGAGAAATTTTGAAGTACAGTGTGAATTTGTTTGAATACTTTGTGGTTGGAGTGGAGCACCACGAGCTGCCCATGGAGGTGTGCAGAGCCAAAGACACCGTGTAACATTGTGTGGTGAAGGAAATACCCCTTCACAAATCTGAGAGCATCCTTCCACATGCAGTACATCACTTACATAGCAATTAGGACCAGGACTCTTATGCTTTTTGAAATGTTAAAATATGCAGGGGAGGCGTTGGCAGTGTTTCAGATCAGCTGACAAGCAAACTAATTTTAGAAGAATAAAGGTTGAAAATGTTGCAAGAGAATTTAGCTAAGAACCGATGAACAACCAGATGTTACATGCACACATCTCTAAAAATCCAAATATCAGTACTTTTGCACAACATATCATTCTTCATCCTTCGTGTTTCATTCTTAATTGGTCCAGTTCTTCCCCCCCATTCCTGCATTATTAGTAGCAGCAGCTTGCTTTTAGCAGCAGGGCACTGTGCTGGCCATAAAGAAATGCATGGCACAGTTTAATCTCTGGCAGATGAGGGCTGTAAGGTCCCAGGAAATGTTTTCTCCCTCATTTTTCTTTTACTTAAATGTAAATGCTGGGGTTGATTGGTGGTGGCAGTTTTTTTAAACAGAGTTTTTTGCTGCCAATAATTAGCAAGTCTTGGTATTCAGTCACCGTGCTCTACAATTAACAGGAGCTGTGTAATTACCTCATGTCACCACTGCATTGTGAATGTAGGAGGAAATGTCCCCCATCCTTTGGCAGGGAAAGCAAATGTAGCAGCTACTTTGCATGATAGTGGCTGCTTCTGTGAAGGAAAGTTGATCTTTTTTTCTTTTTACTTTGTTCTTCCCAAAGGTAAAAAGGTCATGGTCTTAGACAAATGGAACAGCAAAGTACTGTGATGGAGCCTGCCTATCCTATGTTGATTTTAGTATTTAAATTCATACCAGAGAATGGTTTGGGGGGGTCGGTATATTGGGTCCTGTATCTGTGCGTAGCCTGGGGGAAAGTGCATCAGCTATTATTAGCAGCTGCTGAAGCACTGATGCACCCTGTGGCAATGATGTACTGTGATGTGCTGGGCTCTGGGCTGTGGCCGAGCAGCGATTGCTGCCGCTCCTCCATGGGAGTAGGAAATTCTGGGAAGATACATGAATGGTGACAGCAAGCTTGTGACAAGGCTCTGGGTATATTTAATACTGTAGAATAACTTGTTGACAGTACTGCTTCCCAAAATGACCAAAGCTGTTAGCATTGACAGCGTGGTTTCTCTCCAGTGAAAGATACCTCTGATCACAAACCAGAAATAGCTTTTGTTTACATTCGTGTTACATCTGCAATTTCTCATGTGCGTTTTTTGCTTTTGCTGTTCTTGACTCTTCTACCCTTCTTTCTACACGCTATTCAGAGTCCATTAGTTATCTGAAGTAATAGATACCTTTTAGCAAAGCACCATTTATTCTCACCTGGGCTGTGGTCCAGCATTCCCAGAGCAATAGATCACTGGCCATGAGATGAGGCTCCAGATGTCTGAATGTGACTCCTGTTCAGCCTCATGCCTTTAGGACAAGTGTGGGTGGTTGAACAAAGTGAGTGGCATCTGGATTTCCTCATGCACAGCACAGAGGTACGGATTGTTCCTGCCTGGAATGGCCACATGTCTGTTTCTGAGTGTCAAAAGTTGTCAAGATTTGAAAAGAGACTGACAAAAAAGATCTTAAAGAGGGAAGTTGCATAGAATTTACGACAACTCAAGTAAAAATAGTCCTCAATTCACCAGATTCTTAAACTTTTGAATGTTCACTTTCTTCAGTCTGAAGAAGTGGGGGAAAAAAAAATGCAATCTTTGTAGCTTTCCCAGGGAAAACCCTGATAAATGGTAAAGGTTTTGTTTGGTTTTTCTTGTCTGTGGTTTTAGGTTAGGGGTTGTTTTTGTAATTTTGTTCTTAAGGCAGTATCCCATGCTAACTTTAAATCTGCTGTGGTTTGTAGCTGTGTTGAACTGGAGGCCTTCACAGTATGGAATGCATAATTCTGCGTGACCTTAGCATGGTTTCCCATATTGCTGAAATTCTTCTGAGATTCAGCTTGAGCCTTCAAAAAGGTTATGTATAAATAGTTCAGTTAGTGCAGAGCATGCAGCGTTTCCTACTCAGAGAGGAGGATTTTATACAGGCATTAAAATAACTGAACTTTATGTCACTCTTTACTAACAGTTGGGTAGATCAGCTCTGCTCTGCTGTGACAGCTCTGGACTGGGGACTCCATTAATCCACATGGGGCCACTGTGAAATAAGCTGGCCACCATGAACGGCAGCTGGAGGGGATTGCTGTAGTGAAAAGCAGCTGAGCTGAAGTGCCCGAGGCCTTCAACAACAGCATCTTTTTAGCTTGTCATCCTGCAGGGGTTGGGCTCCTGGCACTGGCATTAGGAATTCTCATTGTTTTGCATACTAAGCAAATTCTGTGGAGGGGGAGACAGTGAAATTTCTTAGTGACGTGGAAATTGTAGCCATGATGACGTAAGGACAGCAGTGCACAAGAAGGGCTCTGTGACTGTAAGCTTGTCTGTTTCTCCTAATTATTCGTGCTCATAAACGTTGCTGCTGTACTGAGAAACTGTGTCTCACCAAAGAGCGTGGAGATTCCAGCACAAAACAAGCTGTGATTTCATGCATATTTCAATATATTTGGATTTTTTTTCGGCTTGATCTTTAATTCTGAGTCTACAGTGCATCTTCTTATTTCTTCCAAGTCATTGGTGTTTATTTAACTCTTTCAGAATATAACATTCTGTCTAGGTGATGATTTTTCCTCTTAAGTACAACGAATGATGAAGTCTTTTCTTTGCTGTGGCTGTTTGTGTGTATGATTTGTTGTAACACTGCTATTAATTGTTTATTATCACTCTTCAGGGCAAACAAACTGGTCTCAAATACAGAAGTAGGTAACAGCATTGCCATTTTTTGTCCTTCTGGGAATAGCCAGTAGTTTGCAGTGCTCCCACCCCTAAGGAGATGGCATCAGCTTTAAGAACATTTCAGTCTCCTCTTTTATCAGCCTCAACAGCCTGCTGCTTGAGTGCTTTATTAGCCTGCCTGCCAGGAATTGAATTGGGTCTAAATTCATCTGTGTGAGCGTGCACAGTTAACAATGACATAATAATCCTTCCCTAGATGTTATACAGTAGGATGGAATGATTTGTCAGTGTCATGCAGGCAATGCTGGAAATGTAAAGAGTGCCTTATTCTGAATGAGTCAAGCATGATTAAAATGAAAGCAATAGAGATGGGAAGAAAGGCAGGGGGCTTATTTTTATGGCCAGGAGCCTCTCATGAGCAGGCATGCTTAGTTTGTTTAGACAGTGTTTATAGGTCATGCTGGCTTTCTTTACAGAAACACAGGCCCTACTGTATTCCATCATCTCCACTAACACACCTAAAATAAATCATTCATCATCAAAAGCCTGTAGAAATTGGGATTTAACCATAGATTCAAATGAGTTGACAGTGAAGGCACATCAGGCGTTTGTTAAATATAGGCAAGGTTTTCTTTCTGGATATTAGTTATATGCCTTTTTGATGCTACCAAGTTGCAGGTGAAAGCTGTTAATCCATGCTAAGTGTGTGCCATCTTCCCTTCCTGGACACAAACAATTGGCCATAGGATGCATGTTACGAATTCCTAAGGAAAGACAGCCACCTGTGGTGTTCTCCTTGGCTCCTTTGTTCTGCAGTCATCATTTCAGCTCTTGCTTCTCAGAAAATTCTCAGGCTCTTCATTCCTGCTATTTCATTACGGGGAAATAGAGATAAAAAAAACCTGCTATGCAAATTTAGATAGATGGACATTTAGCATTATCTGATGGTATCCAGTTTACAGCAACACGTTGGAGGAAGTCTGGGTCCAATGTAGGTGCAGGAAGGGATGTAGAAATTAGGTAGCTAACACAGATAGTGATTTCTTCAGTGTCAGAATACTATATATGAAAAAATATTTTTTATCTCTTTTTTTAATAAAGATGCACATAAGATAACCTCAGAAGTGAATTGATTTTTACTTCGGTGATTAACATTACAATAACTAGAACTTGATATATTTCCATTAAAATGATGACTAGATTCTCACTGACTTCAGCATTAAAAAAGTCTGACCACAAATCCTCCAGTGCTTAGTTTTACTGTTTTGGAAATGTGTTTTATGTTAGAAAGTGTTTGCTTTGGTTAATAGTATTTACAGAGACAGAGGAATGGGGAAGGTGGTTAATAATTGGCAGAAGATGATAGTTTCCGTAATGGAACAGAAGATTCTTTTATTAATCAGTGGGAAGAACAGTAAAAGGATTAGAGATACAGGGAAGATAGGAAGCTCTTGTAATTGCGTGTAACTGTAGCAAATGAACAGAGCTGGTCTGGTGAGCAGGGAGTCTGGTCTGTGCAGTCTGAGAGCATCCAGTTTGCACCTGCTCACCTTGCCAGCTCCCAGAATTAAGCTGTAAAAGGGAGCAACTGCAGCAGTGTGAATGGATGCCCCTGTACAGTGAGCAAAGTAAAGCAGCAGTACTGGTGCAAGCAAAAGATAAATAAAATCCTATCTCCATTCAGATCTGATTGATGTCTATAAATCAGTATAAATCGCTTGCAGCAGATGTGGTGACAGACAGAAACTACCAGCATTCTACTCACTTCGCTCTACTGATGAGCACCTTGGAGTTTAATTTGTGGGGAAGGCTTTTCCAAATGTGGATGCATTTCTCAAAGTGATTCTTATTGATGACAGTTGGTAATGATAAGTGAGTATGTTGTCACTGCTTAAGCTATTTTATTCTCTCTGCAACATTTCTTAGTGAAAGAGGTGATAGAAACTAAAAGCAAATATCCAATATCTATATTCATTGCTACCTTTGTGGAATCTTCTGTAACATGACAGGTGTAGGTGGCTTCACAGCTTTGGTAAATTTTTTAGGGTTTTGTATTTAATACTCTTGGAAATCAAATTTCTTCCAAGGTACTCTTTCCAGTTTAACTGGAAATATTCCAGTATTCCACGAGCCTATGGCATAGGAACAGAAGTGAAATCCCCTCTGTAAGGACTCCTGCTGCTCAGCTCTCCACATTACTGCAGGGTATGCACAGCCATGCTCCTCACAGGGCACTGTCTCCTGGGAATGTCTTGACTTAAGCAGAAGAAACAATTTCACTGGCTGTCTGAAATATCCCCGGGGACACTGACTATGTCTCTGCTTTACATTTGCGTTCCAGAATGAGCAGTGTTTCTTCCAAAGGACACGTGGGTCATTTGTAGATGCTGAAGCTATTGTGGTGTTTCTCTTCCTCCTCTTTCTTCATGGATGTTGGGACTGGGATAGGCAGGGACTGCTATTTCAAAGCCGATTTGTATTAGGCCTTAAAAAAAATAATAAGTGGGAACAGGAAAAAAAGCCACGAGATGTATGAAAATCCCAACTGTTGAGCCAGAGCTGGTATAAATCGGTGTAGCTGCATGGCACATGTTAAGATTGGGAACGCTGTGCAGATCTACTCCAGCCAACAATGTAGCACCATTCTCATCTGTGAAAGAAAAGCTAGATGGAATTAAAACCCACAGACTAGACCTTTGCTGTGTGCTTAGTGCTATTCCAGTGAAGCACAACGTGATACATTGTAATTATTTATGGCATCTTCAAGGAAAAGGAAGAAAAAAAAAACCTAAAACCAGTAAATAGCTGAAATCCAGGCAAAGCAGCTGATTTGCAGGGTTTCAATCACTTTTAGAAAACAATTTTCTATTTTATTGGTCATGGAAAATTAATTGTATGTTTGATGATTTGTATCATGCTGTTGCTGTCTTCTCCTCATTTTTTGGCTCCGTTTTCATTGATTTCTGCAAGTGTCATTTCTGAAGGGAACAGAATGAGCTGGGGGCCTCCTGCCCACATATCCAACTCTGTCATCATCATTTTTAAATGCCTGTTCAGTAATCTGCTCGAAGCCTTTAAACTTGCCTGCTTACTGTTGTTTGTTCTCTCCTCAGTCACAGATGCAAGGGTGTTTTGCCTGCACACACACGCATACGCGTACAAATATGTGTATATGAATGTACACAAATGAATATATAAGAAGTACTTCAGGATTGGTTAAGGGTAAGACTAAGTGAGGTTTTTCACAGATGATGCTGTAACCTCCTATGTAGTTTAATGGGCAGCACTTTCATTCATAGAAGATAGAAGTAACGAACTGATGGGTAGTTGAAAAGTTTTCTTAATACATCTGGGATTTAGCAAAAGAACTCTAATGCTCTCTAGCAGCTTCTGTAAGAGTATCCTAAAACTAATAAAAGATTATGTTATTTTCTTAAACCCATCGGGATTTTCCATGAGGGGCTGAGCAAGACTGCCTGATGATTCTCTCAGCAGCTTCCAGAATGGCTTAAAAAGTTGCTTGAATTTCCGGGAACGCGTACAAATGGATTTGTTATTCCTTGCAGCTCGTTGAGCTTTTGCTTCTGCCTTGGATTTCAGATTATCTGTATAGTTATCCTGGGTTGGTTTGTTTGTCGGTTGCTTTTGTTTGTTAGTTTTGGTGGTGGTGCTGGTGGTTTTTTTCATAATTGTATCAAAAGATCTGCTAGGTCTTTTCATAACCTGTTTTATGCACTTATTCACTATTGCTGTACCATTTGAGTGGTCCACAAATATTAATACAGAGGAATGGGTTAGGGAAATGCTGTTATCTCCTATTTTCCAAGCAAGATAATGAAAGCAAATGGAGGCAATGAAAAGTAAGAGGTTTTAAAAAATCTGTCTTGGTGGTTTCACCAGGATCATGCAGGGTGTTGAAAGGTTGAAGGCAGCACACTGACCCAACCCTGGCATGGATCTCTTCCATGCATCGTGGGGAATCCTGCAGTCAGTGGCAGTGGAACGCTGACAGGGATGGCAAAGACCCATCTGTGTGTGCAACTGTTTCACACTGCCTTCTGATGGACTCTGCAGTGAAAAGAAAACTCGGCATGTGGCATTCTAATGTTCAGCTTTGCTGCTTTGGGCTGATGAAACAGGATGTTCTTTAAACCTTTTTGTCAGAATTAAACTCATAACTTAATTGGAGTGGGAGAACAGCTGGGAGGAAGAGGAGACACAAAAGGAGAGCATGTCCTGCTCTTGTACTCATGGTTTCCTCTCTTTTTCTTTTTCAGTGAGTATGTTTTTGAACACGTTAACCCCCAAGTTCTATGTTGCCCTGACGGGCACTTCCTCATTAATCTCGGGACTTATTTTGGTAAGTACTGGATATATTAATACTACTTTATCAATGTATTTTATTATCCAGAATGGGATGTTAGACTTTGTGGGTGTCATTTTTTTTTTTTAGACCTTTAATGGGTGCCATATTTTTTTTCTAATCTAACATTTCTGCAGTGCATACATTTAGCACTATTTCTGTGGGGAAAATAAAAGGGGAAAATACTTCATCACAGTATGCCTTAAAAGAAAAAAAAGCTTGAAGGACACTGTGTCCCACTAACAAACAACCCTATAATAAATCAGAACAAGTGCTTATGCAGTAAGCCTTTTTGTTGACAGGTACTACAGAAATAAAGAGAGTGGTGATAAGAGGAATGGGAGAGGCACCATCTCTCTCAGCTTAGCCTGCTCCTTTTAGAAAGCTAAGGCAGGATTTACTAGAGGAAAAGCAAACAGAATGGTAGAAATGAACCTTCTTTTAGGGCAAAAATTCAAAGGGATGATTATTTTAGATCTTTACTATTATAATCTTTCTCAATTTATGTCTGCCTATTTGTTTAAAGGTCTAATGAATGTTTTCAAACCCTTTAAAAAAAACCTTCTCCAGAATATAATACCTGAGGGCTTCAGCACACATATTGATATAATGGAACAAATCATTATGCTATCATAGCACAGGAGTACAAAACAAAGCATTTGCTCTGGATTTTGTTCAGTATTTTCAGAGAAACAAACTGAAATTAAAAATAATCTTAACAATCCCAAAGGTGTACTTAGGATATTGTCCTTATATTGGGCCTGGATACTGAGTGCTGCCTTTTAACTGACAGAAGGGAGTGTCATCTTTGCTTTATTTTACTTTGTTCTATCAGCCTTAGGTCCTGTGTCTAAAACCAAGTGCATGCTTTTAAAAACTGCTGGATGAAAGCTGTAGACCTTCCCTCCCCATACCAAACTAGGCTCTTAATTGTAAGACCAGAAGGCCAGTTTTAGGTGTTTCGTTACTGTGGTGGTAAATGGAAAAAGAGAAACATCACCAGGAGCTGGTCAGCATCACTGTGTATCTGCTGACCTCAAACGATTTCTCACTTACTTCCACGTTATTTATTGTAGATGTAGACAGAGAAATGCCATCCTTGATAGGATGTAGACAGAGAAATGCCAATGAGACTCATCACTTAGATGATTTCAGGTATAAAGCATCATGCTGCTCTGCCTTGCTCTGGGACTTATTTGTAGCAGAAGGCAATTACTTAATGTTTGTACCTTGGGCATTCATCGAGATTATATGGATTGAACCCCAAAGCACAGGACAGAGCTCTGGAGACATCAGTTGGTTCAGAATGTGAACACTGAGGCTCAGGAGGCAGGCCTATAAGACTTGGGTTCTGTTCAGTGCACTTCATTTACTCATATGCACAGCAAGAGGATACTGAATGTAAAATTCAGTAAGCTCAGTAATCTCACCCAGAAGAAAGAAGGATTCAAGAGGCCAGGTCCCACCAACGAGATGCTGAGGAATGAGGGAAATACGTGGGTTCCACAGGCACAATTCTGTACTTGCTGTTGGATGGGGAAGACAGCTGGAGGAGTCAGCAAGAAAAAAAGAGCCTGTGTCTGTGGAGATAAAGAATCAAACAGGAGCTAAGACCCTAGAGAAAGACTAAATTTTCTGTAAGTAAATTCCCTGAGTATGGCATGATTACAGGTGTAGTACACTTTGTGCTGTGGTCGTGAAGGCAACCTCTGAAGAAGGAGTTCAGTAAGACACTTGTGAGCAAGAAATTTCTAAGTGCAATACTTTGATGGAAAGTACAAGAAGCAGGTAGGATGTAGTGATGATATGATGAAGGGGGAAAAGGGCATCTATAGAAGAGATGAAATGGAGTGATCCCTAGCCAGAAAAATTCAGTAAGTGGTGCATGGCAAAGTTCTTTATGAGTAAATTAAAGGAGCAGTGAAGTGATAGACGTGTAGACAAAGACAAAGAAAACTAAAAGCCTGTTCTCTTCTGAAAGCCTTTTTCTTGGGGCTTTGCTACTACTGTCAGTTTTTGTCTGATGCTTATATGCCACCATTCTGTATGTGCAAAAGATAAACAGGCCAGGTAGCTGACAGCCAGTAATCAGACTGTAGGGACCAGTGTCTGTGCTGAGGGGAACGTATGGTGTGTAAATTCAGTGCTGGAAACAGAGCTCAACTGAGATGGTCATGGAAAGAAGAAACTGCAACTTGAATAGCCCAGGCATCAGGAAGGACAGCTGGGTAGATGCTGGAATGGTAGTGCTAGCTAGTCACTAGCCCAGTTATGCTTCAGATTTATTACTTCTTCATAATCTTGCTGTTTACCAATGGCCCTGTAACAGACTGAATTGCCCACAGTACCACCACCCACTTATCTGTCACACAACGCAGCATCTGCAGTTCTAAAGATTCGTCGTCCTGCTGATAGTATAAAATGAAACCCTTCGTAAAATAAACATTCTCTTCACAAATCTACATTGCTAGGGTATCTGTCAGACTACATGTTCTAATATTCCTTGGAATTTTCCACCATATGGGCTGGCTGATTTCTTTCCATTATTGGTTGGCTACAGTTCCTAATCAGAAAGAGAAATCACAGCTCTGCAGGTTCTGAAATGATGGAATTTTCCATCATTTCAGAAGTGTGGCAACTGATGGGAAAGTGAATGCTTTTCCTATTCCATGTTTGGGTCATGAAACAATGACTCTACAGAGTTCAGTTTGGGGAATTGCACGCTACGTGACTCCTTTGCAAAACACTCCTCTCCTGTCTTATTTTGTCTCTTACTTTGTTTTCAATGTTTAGGTAAAAATCTGGCCTAACTGTAAGCCAAGTGATATGGTGCAAGAATTTAAGATCTCTTGACTTTTCTGGATAGCACAGAACAATAGCACAGAAGTCTTTTCTATTTCAACTCTCTTCCATAATAATTACTTTAGAGCACATAGCTTAAAATGAACAACTTAGCAGATATTTAATTCATCCCTGCACTGTTTTAGATGTTAAAAATAGAAATCAAATTAGGTCCCAAGCTGCAGTTTAAAATATTGCATTAGAAACTTGATTCCACCACAGTTACTTCCAAATCAGTAAAAACTAATTCTGACTCACAGAATACAACATTGCTGTATTATACCTGGTGTCTTAAGAAAGGCTGAAGTTTTTCACAGGTAGGGCAGCATGAAACACAACTGTTGTCCAGCAAATGCTGCAAGCTGGCACTGTGTTTCTGCATGCCACTGAGGTTTCCCAAGAAGGCTGCATATCTAACATGTTGGCACCGGGGTGGAAGCTGTGTAGCAAAATAATGGTGGCACTTGCATTGCAAGCTGATAGAGTCTCAGTTCTGACGAATCACAGCAGCAGTGAATCTCAGTCTTGAATGTCAACCAAGAATGCTTTGTTTTTCTACTCCAGGGGTAAATAACCTTTTTCTGCTACACAGTGAGAAACATTCTGCAATAAACTCAACAAATACCAGGTTTTTTGGAGATAAGAATTAGGAAGGCAGTCAACACAGGGGTAGAGCATGATGCTGAGGCTATACTACCTAGTCTTGAGCAGCTGGGCTGTCTGCTGCAGCCCAAGTGCAGGCACAGTCTATGTGAGTCCCTATCACAGGTGTGCTAGTAAAGGATGTCTCTAAGAGGACCTAAATAACGCAGAAAGAACCTGTCTTTTATATATATATATATATATATATATTTTAGATATTAAACATTCTTCTGCTTGTTTCATTACCTTTGTGTAGTCTGCTGCAGAGAGGCAGAGGTGACTGAGTTCTGGGCATTCCCAGTAATTCCTGAAAGTCTGACAATTGTACAAGGACAGTCTTTGGCAGTTGAAAACTGGCATGTGGTAGTTGTTCTAAGTTTCTGACTTGCTCAGTGGATGCTGACAGGTCAAGAAGGGCAAATTTGTCCATGGGAGAGAGTGCCTAAGAAACTGAAAGTGTTTGCCAGCAGATGAGAAAGGAAAAGTCTGTAGGAGTACAGTCTATACCTCAGTCTACAGACAAGTAAGTGGAGCCTACCCAGTGCTGAGAGAAATATTACACATAGGCCATATAATTCCAGAGGTGGGTAAAATGTAAGTACAGAGGTATTTTGAATAAGCTGGTTGTTAGCAATGTATGTATCTACTCTTTGATTTAAGGAATCCCAGAACCAGCAGCAGAGGCTAAGATGCTCAACTGATGAATTTCATTCAGAAGGAATAGGGCTGCATTGTCTTCAAAACTGCCATTGAGGACACTAAGAGCATGGTCAGAGGCAAATTTTTTCTTAGAATCAGGTTGGATAGGACTGTAGGATCTGTGTGTGTCAACTGGCTATCCCTAGCAGCTCAATAAACAGAATTTAAATAAACAGCCAAGAGGCTTTCTTTGTCCAAGAGCATTGTATAGTCACATCCATATGGATGAACACTCTTGCCTACCAAAACAGGGATCTTTCCTTTACTGTCTACTGGAAACAGCCCCTGGGCTGTGATATCCCTAAAACATGCCCAATCATTGTCTGGGAGAGTTGTCGCAGTCTGGGCAGTGTGCTAAAAAGCAACTTGGATGACTGAGCCAGTCAAGCATGTGCTGCTCTCCCATCTTTTTTATCTGAGAGGCTTAACCATTGAATCTTCTGCTATCATTATCCTATTCCTCGAGGGAGTAAGCCTCAGTTAGATCCATTAGATTGGTTGTTACCAGCCCTCGGATTACAAGAGTATTCCAGCCCTTACTCCTTGGAGACATAGATGCCTAATTAGAAGTCTGAATGAGAACTCTGAGCTGTGGACGTTGCCTGCAAGGGAACTTCCTACTGTTTTGGTTGAAGACTCAGTACACACTCTGGGTGAGGACTACAGAGAGTATTTGCTGTATAAGAGAGGACTCCTGTCTTGGATATGATAAACAGGAAAGCATAATTCATATCACTGATAGACATCGCTATTTAGTCCAGTGAGAACAGCCATCAAAAACATCCCTTGCGAATTGATGCATTTCTGGTGGAGTATCTGGTCTGAAAAATGAGGCAGGAAGATCTGATAAGCCAAGTGATGCAGAATATGTTTGTTGTTACACAGAGAGATAAAGCAGTCTGGGATTGCCTCCATGTGAGAGCAGAGATATGAAAGAGAATGGTTTTTTTTTCGTAGTGCAGGGGGAAAAAAGTACTTGCATAGAGAAGCAAAGGCAAAAAAAAAGTCCATAATAAGTATCTGAAATGCATTGAGACTTATGAGTGATTAGCCAATTCCTATTTTACTTAAATATCTCTGTTAACTACCAGCTGTTTTTTCATAGCCATGCACTTCTAGAAATCATTACAATTTCAAAAATTACAATTACAATCATTACATTTCCAAGATCAAATATTCTTACATTAGGTATGATCTCTACCAGAATAAAAAATAAACTCTAGATGTGGATTTCTAAACACACAAACCTGGAAATGCTCAGAACAAGATTTTAACTTGGCCTTTGTGAAGGCTTCAAAGACCCCTTGGGAGTCCAGAGATATTTGACCCTGTTCTGATTTGAAAGTATATGTATGTATGTGAGAGAAATGTATGATGGAATCACGAAAGAGTTTGGTTCAAAGGGACTTCAAAGGTCATCTAGTTCTAAGGCCCTGCCATGGGCAGGGGCACCTTTCACCACCAGTACCTTTTTCTAAAGGGACCACCTTTGCTTTCAGAGGCAGTTTTTCTCCCCACTTTCCTCTCTGATCCAGATCTCTTTCTGTGGATAAGTAATCCTTGTAGTTAGCTATTATTATGCCAGATGATCTCTCATCTGTCTGTCAAAAGCTTGTTGGATTCGCATTGCTTTTAAACTGGCTGGTATAGCTAGAAATCAAATTTGATTTGTAGAAGTCAGGTTTCAAAGGTGCGAAGATTCTGTGCAATTTATTGTTTTGACTTCAACATCAAATTACAGATTATCCTCTCATATACCCTGAACAAATTACTCCAAGCAAAGACTTATTGTGATGATGCTTTATGGCTTCATTTCCTGAGAGACAATATGCACTGAGATCTAGTTGACATTCCCTAGCTCTAGATTCACTCAACAATGATTCCTTTTTTTAAGCATAATTAATATATTTTTAAGACTAGGGAGAAACTTGAAACTGCAGCAGCTTTGACAAGTTTCAGTCACTCAGCTGCACTGTAGCAGTCACCTTCATACATACATTCTTTCTGTTGTATCCTAGTTTCATTGAAATTCAGTGTGACAGTTTCCCGACTTGTCTACATTTTTGCAGTGTAAATGGGGTTAAAAGCACTCTCTCCAGGTTTTGTTGACGTTTTATGTAAAAGCTGATTAGGATCGAAATAACAATAATGATGATGATGGTAATAATGATAATGTAAAGGAATTTAGTACATTATGGTTTTGTATTATTTTTTTTAAAGGCAGATCTCAAAGGATGAAGCTCTGTTGACACAGTCTATAGCTGGATAGTTGAGAGTAGCTGCTTGGGCAGCTGTACTTTGGCCCTTGATTTTGTTACAGATTTTGTTATTTTGTGATCCTCTTACTTGGTGTCCTGTGTCTCTACAAAACTATAATTTTTGATTTGGACATGTACAGCTGTGGCTTGACTTGTGTTCAAGCTTCAAAGTTTCCAAAGACAAACAAAAACACGTATTCACAGCTGAGCTGTTACTGTATCTTATGGCACAGTCTTTCTTTGATGATTGGGTATGTGTTGGCTGCTTAGGCTATGAAGTTCTCTTTGATCACAAGATTTAAATTCTAAGCCCCTTAGGCAGTGTTAGTAAGGGCACGAGAGCAACTAAAACCAAAGGTTCTCCTTTACCACCCCAGCTGCCACCTCTAGCATCTGGAGAAAGGCAGGCAGCGCACTGATGGGTGCCTGAGAAGTGTACAGGGCAAAGCAGGGACCGTGAGATTCCCTGACAGTTCTGCCCCCGGCTCACAAGGTTCCCACCATGGTGTCCTACAGGTTTATCCTAGGGAACGAGTACGGTGACAACACAGGCTGTGGGGCTTTTGTCGATTTGCCTGGAATGCAGAGTTCACAAAGATCTGGATGCGTTTATGTTCTGATTTCTCTGTGAGCATATGTTTAGCTTTCCAAATGACCTCTGTGTGTTCGCACAGCCTTTCTGCCTTCTCCACAGACCGAAACCACCATGTCTAACTGGGTTGTGTTTCTGCTGGGACGCAGACGTTTTGCTGGGGGTGGGGGTGCAGCTGCAGAGCCCGTTAGGTGCACTCCTGCCGGCAGACTTTACAAAGCCGTTTCCCTATTTGTATGAAGCAGTCCCCATTTCCAAAGGTTTGCGTGGTTTCCTGAAGATCTGCTCTTATCCAGGGATGTAATACCTCTGTGAAAATGCAGCATATTTAGGCTGTGATTTTCCAGGTGGAGCTACGTGAATCACCTTCTGGTGTGCTAAGCCGGGGTCGGGAATAAGACAAAACCTCAAAACAAACAGCGAAGCTTTAAAAGATACAGGATTGCGTTCCGTGGGATTTGTTACCGAGGTTTTTCACGTCCGCAAGCCCCTTTTCTGAGGCTACCCTGGAGCAGGGCGCGGGCCGGGGCGGGCTTTGGCGGCGGTCACGAGCGGCGCGCTGACGTGCGTGTGTGTGTGTTGCAGATCTTCGAGTGGTGGTACTTCCGCAAGTACGGGACGTCCTTCATCGAGCAGGTCTCGGTGAGCCACTTGCGCCCTCTGCTGGGCGGGGTGGACAACAGCGCGCCCAGCGCGGCCAACGCCGCCAACGGCGAGGCGGACTCCAGCAGGCAGAGCGTGTCAGGTGAGCGCCGCGCCGTGCCAGGGGGCTCTGGCGTTTCTCCGAAGATAAAGTACAGAACTGGCGCAGTAATTGCTCACCCTGATCCCTGCTTTCCAAATCAGTCCGCTGTGTGTTGCACAGTTACCAGCACGTCTTCCTGCTTGCTCTGAAACCTGAGGGCTCGCTCCGCTCCTCTGCTGCCATCTGTGCCTCTCTGGGCAAGGCGCAGAACTGACAAATGGGGAAATGTGTGCAAAAAAGAAGATATTCAGTTAAGGAGAATGTGTTGTTAAGCAGCTGAGCTATTCCTGTCTGTACCTGGCAACTTTCGCTTCAGCGTTCCTCATGAAAACAAGCAAGGAGAAATTAGCTTTGAACTCACGAGTTAAATAAAGTAAGCGGCCTCAAAACTCCTTGCACTCTGCTGGGTATTTCCATTTAGGGAAGGCTTGGTATAGCACTGCAAAGTCAGCTGCTGTCATTCCCATCTGAGGAGAGGCCACGAATAGCAGCACTGCGTGGTGCAGGATATTAGATTTGGGTGAACTGGCAGAAAGCATGGGATGGCTTGGAAACACCTGTGTGCATTCATCAGTGCCTTCAGTCACGCTTCAGCAGCTCTGAAATAACTCTGGGCATTTTGAAGCAGAAGGCGCAGTATTTTGGCTAATGAGGCTCTGCCAAGCATCTCGACTTGCTGATATAAAGAAGCAGGCAGGGAATGGCTCTGCCTTCAGTGCACAGGCACACAGTGCTACAGATCCCTCAGTGTCTGTGTGCAGCGTGTCTGTGAGAGCTGCTGTTCGTGCAGATATGGATGCTCAAAACCAGACCATTGAATAGAGAGCTCAAAAAGCAATATTCAGTAAATAGGTGCAGTGTGTTATTAAGTTATAATGGAACAGAAAAAGCAGCCTTCTGAGCCCATCGTGAATCCACGCGGGGATATTTCTTTCACTGCCAAGCAGAGTGAAGATGGCTTTTGTACTTGGTTTGCCATGTTTCCCCGTGTAGATGTATGACTGCTGTAGAATACTCCAGTAGGTACCTTTGCCTTTGAGAACACTGGAAGAGCAGTTGTACTGAAACCACAGTACCAGCAGATACCAAGACAAAAGCAGCAAAGAGCACATCATGCCTAACTAGCCAGGCAGGTGCAGGACCTAGGACAGAAGATGGTAATATGCCTTCTGAGCTTCCCCTTCTTGTTCCCCAGCTCCCCTACTACAGTGCTTCTGTGCTCCATTAGAGTCCTGTTGTCTCAGTCTGAATAAGGTGAGGGAAAAGAATGATCAAATAGCTGTTGCCAAATACTGTTTGTTGCAGAGTAAGCCAAGCCTTTGAACTGTAGCTCTGGTTCTGAGGAGGCTGATACTAATTTAATATTTACTGTGTGTTGAAAGTTGTATTATGAAAGGCTGTCAGACTGAAGCTTGTCAAACAGCCATACCCTCTGGCTGCACAACTGAACAGCAGAATTCTGATTGAGTGCTTCTGCTGAGTAAACCAATGGAGCTTTCCAACACTGGTTACCCTGGAGTGGTTGGCTGAAAGGCACAGATGCATAATCAATGCTTTTAGTCTTCCCAAACAAATTCCCTTCCCCATGTCAGTGCTTGATGCACATTACGCAGTGCAGGGACCAAGCTGAAGTCCTGCCGCCTATGCTGCCTGACTTTTTGTGTAGCTGCAAGTGGTTTTATATTATGGCAAACCGTTTCTGTAAAATACTTTCTCTCCTTGACACTCGAGCCTCATACTCCGAAGTGCCAGGTCCATGAAAGCAGAGGAAGGCTTCGCCTGTCATTTTGTCTTGTACTTTAATGGACCTGACATAACTTATGAGTGTTGTATGAAGTAGGGTACACGTCCTGCTGACTCTATATACTTCCTGAAAACTGCTGCAGTGATTTGTTTAGAAATGATGTTATGGAACCTCTTTGTGAAAAATGTGCTGGTTGACATTTGGTGGTGGAGGACAGCCAGCAAAATGCTGCAGGTTCAATTCTCCTGATGGGATTTTGCAGAGTAATGGATGAGGGGTCATCCACTAACATGGCAAGGCAGCACTGGGTTTCACAATGAGCCTCTTGAGTCCTTGTTGCAAATGCTGAGTTCATTCTGGCCTTAGCTTTGCTGAAGTGAATTGTCCTCATTGAAATCAAGAGAACAAATCTGGTGTTTAATTAAAGCAATAGAAGCTGTAATTAAGAGCTCAGCTTTTCAAAAGCTTTAGAAGCTAATTTTATGATTTTTTTGGAGTTCTAAATGACTTTTTTTTTTATCCCTTCCTAATCTGTAGCATTAAGAATTTGCAGTTATTATTATTTTTTTTTTCCCCTGAGAGACATGGGTGAAATACCAAACCTTTGCAATGGACTTTTTTCTGCCAATCAACTTTAGACTATTCTGTCAACGCTGGGGTGCTTATGATTTAAGTAAGGTTAGCAGATGTTGCCATGGATAAGCTAAGGAAGGATTAAAATTGGCAGTTGTAGCTGAGGTTTTCAGTGATTTACAGTATCAACTAAGCAGTGAAGTTCTTCTGTAGGAATAACAAGTCCATGGGGATGGAGTTAATTGCTGTTTTTCAGTGCAGTAACCCAGTGTGAGCCCTTTTCAGATCTGCCTTATGGTAAATGTGAGTCCCAGCACTAAACGGTGTTGTTTTCACCTGGCATTTGGTGCTTTGTGGGATGTTATTTGTCTGGAATGATGTCATTTATTAACACTGACTTGCAATGAAATTATCATTTTAAAAGAAAAGAGCAACCAGTCAGGTTGCCTGCATCTCATGCTCTTTATTTTTTCCATTTGTGCCTACAGAAAATAAAGTGGGATTGTTAAGGCTCATTAGAAGGTAACCAATGTTTCTGATAAACCTCAAGTTTTAATTTGGGAGAGATACATTGTTGTGTGTTTCTGTTTATCACAGAATGCAAAGTCTGGCGAAATCCCTTAAATCTGTTCAGAGGAGCTGAATATAATCGGTAAGTGCTGTGATGTTACAGGTATGGATTTGGGTTAAGGACCTTAATTGAACATTTCCGTTAATCTAACTCAGCAACAGAAAAACTGTTGTGGATGCTTTTGATCATGCCAGGCTCTCCTACAATTTGTAAAATGTTTCTGAAGGAAAAGGAAATTAAATTCATACACATGCAGCTGTCAGTTCTGTAATTTTTGGTGCGTTAGAAAAACTGGAAAACCTAAGTGCAGTATGATGTGGCACAGTGAGACGTGGCAGTAATTCTGTTCAGATCAGCTATAGCAAATAAACTAATGAATTATATCTAGATTTTGTGTGATATTAGTGTTTGAATAGGTGTGTTAGCCACTGCTAGTAATTACCTCCCACCATCCTCGCTTACGTTCAGCTACTGTAGCTCCATCACAGGACAATGAAATGCAGTGTGTTTGTGTTGGTTAGGAGTTTGGCTCCTTAGTGGGTTATGCCTGTCTAACAGCTAGGACTCTTCTTTCCTATATGTTTTGCTAAATGTGACTTCATTAACCAAAATGTCTCTTTGTTGGCATGCTTGCAGGTATACGTGGGTAACAGGAAGAGAACCTTTGACTTACTACGATATGAATCTTTCAGCACAGGACCATCAGACATTCTTTACATGTGACACCGATCATTTACGGCCTGCTGATGCTAGTAAGAGACTTTGGGAACAACCATTTTTACCAGTAGGTTAATGATTACTTCGAACTGCTGCAAGAAAAGTACAGTCAGACATCAGTTCTGTCAGGCAGATGGAGGAAGACAAAGTTAGGTCATGCCTGGAAAGCTGTTGCTGTTCTAATACTGATATGCTAGATTTGTGCAAGACTCTATGTAGGTATAAGGTTTCAAGTTTGTGTCACTTTTATGTTCTACTTTCTTTCTGGAGTCGTTCAAGGTACCATTTAAAAGCGTAAATAAGGATTTATGTTTTCCTCCCATTTCTTGCAGCAGTTCCAAACAGATATAGCTTAATTTGCCTCCAGCTATAGTGTAGTAAACTGAACTACATTATCCAGACTCCACTTAGCCTATGCTGACAGAAGACAGCTTATGTAAAATCCGAGTCCTGTACTTTATTCCCTGTTGTAGTTAGAAGCTGTGTAAAAAAAAAATGAGAGCACATTTAGAAACTAATTTCATATAAGCAGCTTTAGTTGTATTAAGCCTTTATTGTTAAGTCCACATGCATACTTCAGTTCAGCTTAAAATGTACAACAAATATTTTAATAATCAGAATTTGCATCTGAAGAGGCAAATCTTCTTTGTCTCTTAGGACAAGAAATACTGACAGTTGGACACTATATTCTGTGGATGTAATTACAAAGGAGAGCATACTGTGCTTTTTTTGACGCAGGAGAAACATGAATCCTATTTTCTGAATACCATGGGCTGGTTATGAGGTCATCTTAATTAGCCTGAATGTTGTCTCATTTAACATACTCCTAAAGCAACTGCACATTAAGGAGCTGGAATAGGAACCCCAACTATGCTTGTATTCTTTTGTGCCCCATGGAATCTACCTCCCCAAGAAGAGAAAGCTGCTTACTCAGTCTGCGTGTAACAGTGCAGATGGCACAATCTGTCAGATTGTCCCTTGGAAAACAGGTGATTAAATGAAAGAATAAGGCTCAGCGTTTGATTGTATGTCTTTTGACTGATTGCTGAGGTCTCTGAAATGTTATGCAGTGAGTCAGGCTGAGAACAGTAAATTTTGTTGTTGAAATGCAATAGATTTTCCTTGTTAATGCTATAATGACTGATATGCCCCTTTTCTGCTTGGTTTATTGAATAGTAATGCAAAAAGCCTGGAGAGAGAGAAACCCCCAAGCCCGAATTTCTGCAGCACATGAAGCTTTGGAATTGAATGAGTGAGTGACAACAACATTAACATTTATTTTCTGTCATTTAAAAATCCATTTGATGATAGCTTAGGGCAGGGGTTTTACTACAGTAATTTTTAACCATGATTACTGGCCTGCCACAGGAAGTCCAGCAGTGGGAGGAAAAGCAGCACAGCTGTATGTGGTGCTAGCCACCCAGAAGATCCTTGGGCACTGATGACAATAGGGTGTTTTCACATTGATGTCAGCGGGCTTTGGATCAGGCCCTGTGTTAGCACAGAAAAGTGTTAATTATGTTGCCTCCTGGTGAGTCCATGATATGTTTATTTGTGGGATGGAGACAGAGAGTTCCCTTTTGGATTTCTCAGTTGTCCTGAACAGAAGCAAAAAGAAGGGACTCGTAAACACTTCCTGAAATATTCATTTGATAGTGTGAGAGAAAATGATGTAATATTTTGGGACTTTTGTTTTTTCCAGTCTGTTATTTATTTTCCCAATGAGAAATGTAGCATTCTCAGATCCCACAGCAAGCTCAGTGCTGTGAGGCTTTGCTGGCATGGCATACTGTACAAATGTTGCCAAAGTGCATAAAGTGGGGAGACTCCCTTAGGTTGCTGTCAGAGAGTATTGCATTGTAGAATTGCATAAACTGATGCCTTACAGATTGTCCTTCACTAGTTTCGTTAGAAGGAAATAAATAAATGTTTGTTCCTGGGCCACAATTTAACTGAGAGAGCATATAGCTTAAAAGGCTTTAGCAAGCTATTCACCTATTCCATTCTACTCACATATGGAGTCTTATTTTCACCCAGACTTGTTTTTACCACTTCCTCAATAGATGACTGTGTGAAACACAGCTAGAGGAGACAGCAGCAGCCTGATTCCATTTCTGTATAAACAAGGATCTCCTTGTATTAGCTGTTTGTATCAGAAAGAAATCAGCATGCTGTGTCCCACCTAACTTCAGCTGTTAAAATTGTGTCTGTCAAATCCAAAGTAGTTACCTCAGCTCCTTGTATAGCAATGAGAGAAGCTTCTCAACTCAGCGTATCATCATGCTTGTAGAGAGAGATTTACACAGGTGAAATGAATGGCTTTGTGAAGATGCTCCTTAAAGGAGGAGGAACACAGATAGTTCTAAATTAGACTGTTGAAAGATGAGTGAAGTGATTCCCCCCTGCATTTCACCTTTTCCTGTATTCCTAAAGTAAATTTCCCGGTTATCATTTTATGGGGGGGGGTGGGGGGTGGACCTCTACAATTACATTCATGATCTGATATTTGAAAGTGCTGTAGATCCATGAGCCAGCAGTGTGTCCTTGTGGCCAAGAGAGCCAGTGGTACTCTGGGGTGTATTAAAACGAGCATGGCCAGCAGATTGAGGGAGATGATCCTTCCCATGTACTCTGTCCTGCTGAGGCCTCATTTCGAGTACTGACAGAACAAGGGGCAACAGGTACAGGCTGTACCACAGCAGGTTCCATCTGAACATAAGAAAAAACTTTTACTGCAGGGATGACAGAGCACAGGCACAGGCTGCACAGAGAGGTTGTGGAGTCTCCTCTGGAGATACTGAAAACCCACCTGGATGCTTTTCTGTACAAACTACTGCAAGGAACCTGCTTTAGCAGAGGGACTGGACTCGATGATCTCTAGAGATCCCTTCTTTTCATATCACTGCAATAATGGAAACATTTTATGTTTCCGTTAAACCAGTCTTGATCTCCAATGAGTTTTAGTCCATATTGCTTAGTGAAACAGTGTTTTACTTCCTGGGACATATTCCAGTAGGTTTACTAGGGCTGCTGCATGATACAGTATCAACATGAAAGTCATTATCTACTTGCCTGACTATTTACAAAGGGTTAGGAGAAAGATGTATCACTAAAATCTTTTGCTTCCATATTCAATGCATGCTTGATTGTCTGCATATCTTTGTACAGTTTCTACTTCTTGCAACTTTCTCATGGTTCTTCTGACATTTCTGCAGATGTGCCACTGCCTATATTCTTTTGGCTGAAGAGGAAGCAACAACTATTGTGGAAGCAGAGAAGCTGTTCAAGCAAGCTCTGAAGGCTGGAGAGGGCTGTTACAGGCGCAGTCAGCAATTGCAGCATCACGGTGCCCAGTACGAAGCCCAACACAGTAAGTTTCTGTATGGGAACTGCTGAGTCACGGCCTGAACCTCTGATTGATCACCTGAGGCAAGCCGTGAGTCAGACAGAGGAGCACAGCTGAAGGCAATTCACCTGTGCTGCTGGAAGGGGTGGAGCCTGGCTCCATCCCTCCTAGACCTATTGAAGAGCTGGCTACCAGTAGGGAAGGATCTCTTCTGGAGATCACCTCTGTTGGTGTTTTGTGGTGAGCTCAGCTGAAGGGTAAGCTCTTCCACCTATTCTCTTTTTGTTATTGTTGTCTACTTTGCCTAATTCTTTTGATTGTATTGTGATTATAACATCTTGATATCTATTGATTATACACTTTCTTTGGAAGAAATAGCTGTTTCTAAAAAGGGAGAAATTCTGGTAGTGGTAGCTTATCTTTTTTACCTCTCAGAATGATGTACTTGATATTTCATGTTGGCTACAATATGGCCATAGGCTGTATTTTTTTTTCATTGTTTTCGCCTGATTCTGTTACTGAGTTGGCAATACTCAGAATACAGATACGTCGTTTCTGTCATGGCAGAAAATGCAAACCACTGACTTAACAGAAAATTGAATGCTGCATAGCCAAAAGAGGTTTGATATTCGGAAGATTCTAGAGGCTATGTTAGGAAGTTGAACTAAAATGCCATTAGCAATTTTGAAAACATAAGCTCATGTGAAAAGACAGTAAAGAATAGCAGAAACAGAGGTGAGTTGGTGCTTTGCTAGCTTTTTCCATCAGCAGTAATGATAAATAAGTACAGCACACTGTTGTGTGAAAGTTAATGAGATCCATTTGCCAGTGTGACATTTGAAAAGTTAGGTGCATACATTAAGAAAGATCATGGAAACTTTAACAACTGGAATAACATAGTGCTGCAATTGATGCTTTTTTGATGTTTTTTGCTTTTTTTTTTTTTAATTTTTTTATTGTGGAGATTTAGCTGCTGTAATGATATTTGCTAGATGCTTCTTAATTCTAAGAAAATACATAAGGTTACAGTGCGAGTAAAAGAACAGAAAGATAAATAAAATGAACAGATCTAGGTTAGTTCTAGTCTACAGTGACTACCTCAGGCAAAAATAATACCAATGAATTACGTAAGTACAAGCACTGACATATTTTGGGCATCTGTAACATTCTCAGGACTTGAATTCATAGCCTCTGGCTGTGTCACATAATTCGAAGATTGCAGATAAAAATTGTACAAAGTGAAATTGTCTGTCATCTCTGGTTTCAAAAGTGCACACAAGTCTATACGTGAAAGCCTGAGGTTTTATAAATCTTGGAGGTGGTATTTTAAACATTTGTTGGATATAAGATGATATTTAAGATGATACATTTATGATTATTTGCTTATTTTTGGAGAAAAACAAATGAAGAGCAGCTGAGCCCTTGAAGCAGTTTTCAGGTTCTAGCAGGCTGCCCATGAAACTTTAATTTGTGCACTCAATCCATTATAAGCACAGAAAAATGACAGCAATTCTGTGAAAAATACACAAAAAGACTGGCACAATTCTCATGCTGGTGAGCAAGATGTCCAAAATATGTTAAGTTTGTGCAAGCAAATGTAAGTGTGGTATCATCTTAACTGATGTGTGTTATAACACGTATCACTAGCATCATCATCAAGTTTGACATCCTGAACCTTCAGATTTACAGCAGAGTAAGCAGTCAGCTGAGTCTCATAACTAAGAATGCTGCCATAGAGTAAGAAGGGCTGAAGGCTGACTGCTGGCTCTGACTGTTGCTTGGTGGAGGGGCTAGATTGTCCCACTCCTCTCTGCCTTCCTCTGGTAATTTCAGCGTGCACCCTCAGGAGTTAGAGGAACTCCATCTACAGGATGTGCCTTACACACAAGGACTTCAGGTAGAAATCTTCTGATTATATGCTGCATTGACATGGTTTTAAAAGATGAAGACCTCAGGTTTCTTTAGGGAAGAAGGACCATGGACACACATGTCTGAAAGGAGACCACAGTTCCTCTCCCTCTTTTGCAGTTACTCCTTGGTTCTGAAGTCTGTTCCATTTTTAATCCTTCAGGCTGACATTGGGATGAAAAGTGGGAGAGAAGATCACTGTAACAACAAGACGTTGCTCAATTTTTCTGTATGTTAAGGTGTTCTATTGTTCATTCAGTGACAGGCATGAATTTTAAGCGTGGATAATGACTTTGGGCAGCCAGATCAATTTCTTCCAAAAGATTCCAGTTGTAGAAGGTGAAGACAGTTTTGTTTAAGGAGGCCCATACTAGTCACCATGAGTAATTAGTCACCTCAGAAAATGGACTGAAAGGTTATCTTGATTTCATAGTAAATAAATGCCTTTTGACCGTTTTTTCTGAAATGTCTGGAAAGGAGCTTGGCCTGAAATTTATACCTCTTGGTTACACTACATAAACATGTTGAAACAGATGTAACTAATAAATTGTTTATTAAATATAGAAGAAACAATTCGGAGATAAGAAATTACATAATATAAATTATAGCTAATGAAATTCCTTCCCTCCCTTATTTTTCTTCTAAAGTCAGATCTTTCAGCCTGCTGTTGGATCTGTCTGAAAATCATAATCACTGCTTTAAAACAGTTTGTAGATACTTGGAATGTTTTCAGCACACATCTTGTTCTTATTACGAAAGGCTTGAAAATGTTAGGAACAGAGAAATCTTTACAGACTGCATACGTGAAGATAATTTGTAGCAAGTGTCTTATATTTCCTTGATATGGTAATTTTATAGATGACTGCCTGTCCACACATTTTCTGTTGGTCCAGAAGTATGTTAAAAGTTCACGTTGGGATTGTGGAGAGAGAATGAGAAACCAAGGATCAGTGAAAGAGTGAGGGTAATGCTAGAGATTAATTACTGCAGCTGTTTTGTTTCTGTCTTGGTTGGGGCACCTTCCAGCACACAGGATTGTTATGTCTGAGAGATGCAAAGTTGCCATCCATAGCTGTGAGGAACTTGAAGGTGGTGGCAAGGTAACAAGTAAAGGCTCAGCAAAAGGAAGGTTCAGGGTGTATTTATAACCAAAAAGTAAGAAAACTGTTAGAATAAAGCTGAGGAATTAGTTTACTGAATCTCCTATTAACACGTGTGCAACTTAACTGTAAGGAAAGACATACTGGAGTTTTCATGGATACTGCTGTCTAAACCAAATATGTGAACTAGTAAGTAATTGGATGCTGTCTGTATAACTGCAGGTTTTTGTGTCAGTGTTAACTTCATAGGGGTTCCACTCCCCTGAGCATTACTTGATGGTCTGTATCCTACAGAGCTCTCCATGCTTTCAGATCAGCTTATATTTCACAGGTGTAAGGCCAACATATGGGTCCTTATTTGTACCACTGTATATCCAGAGTAATTCCTCTGGTTTTAGTGATATCATCTCTAAGTCAGCTGAATTTGTTGAGAGTTTATTGGAATTATTGGGAAAGCACTGATGATAGTGAATAACAAAAATTATATAGAAAACTTTCTGTTGGAATATTAAAGAACTTCTTTTTTAAAAAAAGTTTTTTTTATCTTAATTATGTTTCTTTTTCTTTTTCTGCAGGAAGGGACACTAATGTGTTAGTTTATATTAAGAGGAGGCTGGCAATGTGTGCAAGAAAGCTGGGAAGGACCAGAGAAGCAGTGAAAATGATGAGAGATGTGAGTTTGTATTTTATTTGCTTTTGATACATAGGTAATAAATAGTAGCACAGAAATGATATATACCAGTTACAAATTAATATCTGCTCTTAAATTGTGCAGTTGTACTGACAGTCATTTTGTGTGTGTAATGTACATAAAGACTAAGTTAACACATCCCTTCTAAGGTTGCAAAAGGAACAGTAAAAAATCACAGAATTCCAGATGGATGGTTGTATTTCCCATCCTGGTATGTTTGCAATAGAGTGCTGCCTTTGGTTATTCAGTCATGAAGTTACATTGCTTCTTTTTCAGAAGACTTCCTCTGTGACACATAGTGAGTTTGGATTTGCAAAGCTGCATTTTGGCTCCTTTCCTTCTTTGTGACACTGCTCAGAACTGAGGACAGTGTTATTTATTCATGCAAAACTTATTGCCGAGATGTCAAAAGAAAGTTATTAATCTGTAGTGAAATAATTTCCCTCTGAGATGGGGGTGATTTTATGCAGTATTTGTAGGCTACAAATTTGAAACATCAAACAGTAGCAAGCAGGGGAGTGGCAGTAAGTGCATCAGTCCCCATGAGGCTCTCTTTAAGTTTCAAGTGCATAAAAGGCTCAGCTTTAGAGATAGCTGTGCACGCCTGGCACTTCTTTGATGGAGATCTCCTGCACGCAGGTGAGTAACACAGCAGTTTGAGGCAGTGACTTACCACACCCAAGGCAGCAAGTCTGCGACTCGGTGATATTTCTGAAAACATTGAACAGAGTTCATCCTGGTGCTAGTCCTCCTAAATAATCTACCAAAGGGCAAGTGGGGAGCAATTTTGTTTCCTGTCTCTGGTTGAGGTTTTTCAGGCATACAACTCTCGCTTCTCAGAATCACTAGGCTGACAGATAGAGGTGTTGAAAAAGAACTCGTCGAAACCCAGCCATTGTACAGCTATGAGTGTGAGAAAGAGGAACAAGGAGGAAAAGATCTGTTTTTCCAGCCCCGTAGTCAACAAAGTCAGCTGGGAGAAAATGTTTTCAGTCCAGCCAGCTCCACTGATTATTTATCAATTTCATTACACAGGCACACCGGGACAAACACTGAAATGCTGGTGGAAACATGGAAATTCTAAGTTCTGGCACTAATATACAAGAAAGATACAATTTTGAATTTCACGTTCAAATGTTGCACATCATAACTATGGCAACTTCTGGAGCTTAATGTGAGCTGCTGAATGTGTCTTATGATTTGTAGATAGGGCTGTGCTGAACAGATCTTCCATGAGCCTTTCCTCAGTTGATGTCAATACATCATTTGTTAGACGTTTGGAGGTCTGAAGACCCTTTCCTCTGTAAGAGCATCATCCTAAACAAAAGGGCTGGATGCAAGACAGCAGAGGCAGAAAGACAGTTTCAAATTTCTAGAGCTTTAACACAGATGAATGCATTCTGTATTTTTCCACATGCAGACACTTAGCCAAATCCTCCAAACTGAATTTAGATGCCTCTAGAGCTCTTTGTTGTGAGTGAGCAGAGCTGAGAATTAGCAGGTCCCTAGATGAAATATAAAAGCAACAGTACCTCTAGGTCACAACTCCAACACATTAAGAGCAAGAGTAGCATCAAGTCAGCTTTGCAGATGCTTTTCTTGGACTGACATGGAGCTATTTATTTCTGATGAATGCACACCACTATTTATTCATGGATGACATAAATAATGTATTTATGAGGAAGTTTGAACATGAATGTGTCACTGATGGTTTCTGTGTGATTGATGAGGGAGGAGATGAATTTATTCACTCTGAAAAGCACATGAAGAATATGTTGGCTGGGGACTGCTGAGTCTAGCATCATGGAACGGAGGGTGGAGGCCTTGTTTGTGTTTGAAAGATTGAAAACAGATTTCTCAAGGCATGGAACATGATGGAAATGAAGTGTTAAGAGGTTCATGACACCATCTGGGAAATATGATTGGGATGTAGTGAGTCTTTACCACTTTGAAAAAATAAAATATTTGAGAGTGTTTAATTCATGGCAAATACAAGGCCATCTTGAGGAAATTACTGATGGATTACACTGTCTTACTTCAATTTTATGTAAGAAAGAGAGATCCTGCTTAAAACACCTTAATGAAAAGAAAATGAGTTGCTGGTGACTTTAATAAGATTTTGGGCAATTGGTTTTATTACACTGTCAATAGAAAATCATATTATTTAGTACTTACTGAGGATATTTTAATTATTTCTTCTATTGTTGAAACCAAATAGGCATCTGTCACTTCTGTGATTGATATTGAGATTGCATCATTTTGTTGATTTTTGCTGCTCTGATTTCATTCACTCAGTTCAGTAAAATTAATCAGAATGACTGACCTGTAATTTTTATGGAAACTTGTCATTTAAGTACACATAGGTGTTGGTTTTGCTTATATGTCTGATGATAACTATTTACTATGTTTCACTATAGAAACCAGCAGCTGTCACTATTTGTATATATTGAGTTAACTTGTGAGCTCATTTTGATTAGCATGCTGTTGGAACAGCTCCAGCCTAGTCACCAGAGTTGTTCCAGTTTTATTCCTCTTTATATAGAGCATGATATGGTTTGCGAGGGAACCAGCTCTCTTTTACCATCCCAGAGGAAACAAATCTTCAGTGCTGGTTGTTTCATTTGTGAGGCTGATTGTGTTAAGAGGATTTAAACTAGCATGTTCCAAACAACGCTGGAAAATTTGGTATGTGCAGAGGAGAAAGGCTGTAGTGGTGACTGTGGGAAATCTTCAGTATTTCTAATCTTTACTTAGGGATGTTACTGTTTTCAATAAGAAATAAGACAAGAAACTAGGTGCTCAGGAGCAAGGATTGCTTTTTGCTGTCTGCTGATTCCCTCATCTTTACAGGAGGAGAAAACTATGCTGGGTGTACATTTTATGTTTTCATTGATTGGAAGCCAAGATGTGTGGAGGGTATGCAAAGGCTCTTTCTGTTCTTTGGCAGGCACTGGAGCAGTAGTTGTCTGTGCTATTGAATTTCCCTTGACTGAGACACTGAGTATCCAGCTGGAAGCACACAGTGCAAGAAACTGAACTGTCAAATTAGTTCTAGTTTCGTAGGATTGTTCTGGAGAAGGTTTGGGCTGTGGAACAAGCTTTCATTGAAGGGTGATGTGTGTTTACAAAAGAGAAGGGAGGCAGGCAGAAGGCGTGCTAATGAATGGAGTGAGCAGGTCTCAATCATTTTCTTTTTTAGAGAGATGAAAGAAACCTGTTCTCCTCAAGATGTTTTTATCTCCTACACTGTGGCCCTGCAATTCCCTGGAAGCTGCTCTGTAGTCTTAGCAAGTATATGTTTCCAGGCAGTAGTGTAGTTGCTGCTTGCTACATCCTTTGCAGCTTTGTTTAGCCACAAGTAGCATTTAGGAAGACACTCTCCAGGTCTTTCCTCAGCACTGGAGGCTAGAAAACCAAACACTCTTTGAGGGTCAGAAATTACACTTTATTTTATTTCTGGCATCAGGCCTGTCTGAGAAATAGCTCTTAGTATTATGGACCTAGCTCTGAGAATCTTGCTAGAGATATTTCACTTGGGTATGTTTGTACGTTTGTCTCAGTAACCAACTGCAGTGTCTAAAATGCATATTTCGTGTCACAAAGCGCAGCAAGGAACTATCAGTGCCAGTGCAGCTTGCACTGTTAGAGAGCTGAGTGCTTATCGGTGTGCTGCATGATAACTTCTTTAAAGACTTGTGCAGCCCTGAACTTTTCAGGTGTTTTAAAAGGTATTGTCACATGGAGACATCAAAAGGGTACTCAGCTGTGCTGAGTCAACTCTGATGATACGGGTAGCTTGGGCTTTTATCTTTTTATGACCAACAGCATCAGTGGTTTTTGCTGGTGTGCCAGTTCTGTAAATCTAGCATGCTTCCCTGGCAACCTCTTGTATTTGACTTTGAATGCTCTTTTCTATTCAACATTCTCTTGAATTCTGTATTTCTGTGTGCGTTGCTGATTGCTCTCGGGCAAGGGGAGCACAGAACCAGAACAGCGTTCTGCACCTTGAATTGTCAAGCTTAGTGAAAGAAAAGAATCCTGACTGCTAATAAAGATGTTATGATCCCTAGCAACTTAACAATGCAACTTCTGCAGCTGCTTGCGTCCGTGCCTACTGTCTGTCCCAAATTCTTCTGTGCTTTAGGCAAGGATTAGTGAGTCAGTCTTTGGCATGTGTTACACAGGTCAGGCGAAGCAAGCTTCTTTGCCTTGAATGCAGTGCTAACTTTATTAAAACCTGTAGCATTTGTTCAAAGTGTCATTTATTAAAAGTGGAAGCAAAAATTCTTCTGAGTTCAAGAGACTGAGAGCTAGCTTTTACATTTTAGATAAGCTCTACTCCTGTGAATCATGACATTTGCCAGTCTCTACTACATAACAGTGTCTTCAGTTAATTCTTGTTCAGACACAGAAATTCTGCAATAACAGTAGAATATCCTTCATTCGAATGGACTCTAAAGTAAAACAGAGATGCCTGGGATTGCCCTAATGCTGTTTATCCATTCATTTTACCTGCATGTGAGTCAGACCCCTCACTTTCTGTCGGCAGTGATCCTATGCATATGCAAAACCCTCAAAGCTAGAAATTTGGTGACTATCACTGAAGCCTGATAACAATGCTTTTCATATAAACTGTGTTTCAAATTGTTACAGCTGGGCAACTACAATAAGAGATGGACTTTTTAGCATGTGTCGAAAATACGCATTTTTCCAGCAGAACATTTGACCTTTCTCACAATATTTGTCTGATACACTTAAGGGCATCTTGCACCCAAATGGAATGAAATGCCTGTGTGTTGAGCATATGTCCCATAGAGCAGAATACTTGTTTCCTCTAAGGCCGTACTGCAGTGTCAGTTTTTGTTTTTCTGACAGTTTGTTGAAATGTGTCTTCATCTTGCTCAGCATATAGTTTGTATTATCAAGCCCTGCGTGGAACAGGCAACCACATTTGATTTTTCATCATATGTAATGCATATATC